ATTTTATGCGTAATTAACAGAACTACAAGCGACATTGTTGGATTATTGCATTTATAAGTATTGTGACTTTTTCTATATCTAAGACAAGCAAGGAAAATAAATATATAGACAGACTTCTATATGTCATAATGATTGCTTATTTTATTAACCAATGAATGAAAGATTATTGGAATGCATAAATGAGTAAAAAAATAAAATAAAAATTATTGAAATACAATATAAAGGTGTGACATTGACAATCTAATGAATAATGAATGAAAAAATATGCGTAGATATATTTAATATGTGAAATAATAAACACTTGTTCTTTTTCTATTTTTTTTTGCTTATAAACTCGATTCATTTTTAATGAATCCTATCAAATATATTACTTCTTTTTCATTTTTTTCTTACTTTATTTCATTTGAAAATCTAGATTTGAATAAATAAATTCTTGTCTATGGATAAGTATGAAAAAATCAAAAAAATTGGTGAAGGTTCTTATGGTAAGAATATATATTTTTTGTTTTCTTATGAAAAAAATTTTTTGAAATATGAAATATATTTTTAGGTCAAGTTTTTAAATGTCGCAATAAAGATACAGGTGAAACAGTAGCCATTAAAAAATTTATTGAATCTGACGATGATCCAGCAATAAAACGTATTGCTATGCGAGAAATTCGAATGTTAAAAGTAAAAAGAATTTATTGAAAAAATTATTTTTTTTTTATTTTGTTTAGCATTTGAAACATGAAAACCTGGTGAATCTCATTGAAGTATTTAAAACAAAACGAAAACATAAACTTCATTTGGTATTTGAATATTGTGATAGAACGGTACTTGATGAACTTGAATCACATCGAAATGGGTATGAATTTAATTTATTATTTTTTTTTTTTATTTTAAATATTTACCTTTTTAGCGTACCGGAAGCGATGATAAAAAAAATTACATATCAAGTATTGAATGCCGTAGAGTTTTGTCATCGACATAATGTAAGACAAAGAAAAAAAAAACCTAGAAGAATTTTATAAAGAAACTTTAATTGATAAATTTTTATTTTGTAGTGTATTCATCGTGGTAAGTTGAATTAAAAAAAGTTGAATTATATATTTTTTTTTTTTTGTTATTTTTGATGTGAAACCGGAAAATATTCTTATAACGAAACAGAATATAGTTAAATTATGTGATTTTGGATTTGCACGATTGATGAGTGCGTATTTTAAATTAGATTAAGGAGAAGATATATTATTGTATTCTTTTTTTTGATGTAGCTCAACAACTTGAAATGACTGATTATGTTGGTAAGTAGTTAGAATTTATAGAAAATAGATAAAAAGATTATTATATGAGATGCTTTAATCAAATAGCTACAAGATGGTATCGTGCACCGGAATTATTGGTTGGAGATCGACAATATGGTACAGCTGTTGATGTTTGGGCCATTGGATGTGTCTTTTGTGAATTGTATTCGGGAGTGCCGTAAGTTCTAATAATTTGTTTGTATTTATTATTATGCTTATTCCTATCTAGATTATGGCCGGGTAAATCGGATGTTGATCAACTTTATCTAATTCGTAAAACTCTTGGTAAGAATAAAAGAAAAAAAAAAGAACTTCTTTAATAATTCTAATATATTATTCTATTATTTTTTTTCAGGAAATCTTATCGATAAGCATGTAGCTATTTTAAAAAGTAATCCTCATTATAAAAATGTACACATTCCTGAACCAGATACAATTGAACCATTAGAACAAAAATTTCCATATGTATCTGAACGAAGTCTTGATTTTATGAAAGTAAAATAAAAATAAAAATAATAATAATTATTATTACTGTTTTTCTTTTTTGTTAGAGTTGTTTGGTAATGGATCCTGAAAAACGTTTAACATGTGGTCAACTATCACAACATCCATATTTTGATGGTTTTACTAATGAATTTGAACGTGAAAGAAAAGAGCAACAAAAACATTTACATCGTGAACAACAAAAACTATTACAACAACAAGCAAAAATTCAAAATAATGTTTATGCTACTGGTACAAAACAACCAAATCAAGGAGTAAGTTTATTTAATACAATAAAAAATAAAGAAAACAAAAATTTGTTCCAGCATTTTCCATCCCTTTCTCGCAATCAAGATCATGATGGAAATAATACACCAGCGTCCGATGATCGTGGTGGACGCAATTTTCATTTACCCAATATCTGTATGAGGAAATTTTCCCATTTGCAATTGCTTATTTTTTTTTTCCTCACGATATTTTTTTTTTCCGTACACCTGTTGTTTTGCACTATTTCATCATTAGAAAATCTTCAATTAAAAACAAAAACTAAAAACAAAAAAAAAACCAAAATAATAAATGTATCATTGAATTTTTCTTTAGAAAACTCTACCAAGTTTGACGGGCATAACAGGAGCACAATATTCTAATGTTCATTCAACATCAAATAATCCCGGAGACTATTTAAGACCAAGTCGACTTGAAATTTATCTTGATCCTGATCAACGTATAAATGTCAATAAAACACGTTTTGGAAATGCTCAACATCCAAGTGTACCAACAACAAGCGTTATTAATGATCCAGATTTATCAATAAAACCATCACCACAAACAAAACGTTTAGCATATGGAGAAAATTATACTCATTTGCCAAATATTTAATTTATTTAAAGATCTCTATTTAATATTGTTTCTATGTCCGTCAAGTTTTTCTTTTTACTTTCTCATGTATAGTCTCTGTTCTTTTCTTTTCTTTTTTTTTTCGCTATTGATGAATACCAAATGAATTCCATATGTAAGCCGTCTATAAATATATTTTTTTTATGCAAACAACAAAACCAAAGAAATGTTATAATTAGAAAAGAAGTATTTGAAATTAGTCAGAGCAATGCATTTATTATATACAAAATTAGAATTCTTGGCTGATCAATAGAATCATTTAAGTGGAATGAAATATTTATGAGAAAAAAAAATCATACGTATGTTCATAGAAAAGATAAAAATAAAAACATTTATTAGCAATTATATTAGAATGTCTAATGAATTTTGAGTCGTTCTATATAGATTTGTCTTTCTAGAACTTGAGAAAAAAAAAGACAATAATTAATATTACAGGATAGGAAGATATTGTCTTACAAATGAGAACAACCATTGAAAAATCAAATATCTCCTTCTATCTTATGATTATTTTTCTGCGGTATTGTTATCAAATGAAATAACTTTTCATTTAAAAAAATAAAAATTCAATTTCCAGTTCAATACAATTAAACAATTAGGTTTTTATCTATTGGTCTTTTACTTTCAAAATGAATACTTTCATTATTTTCTATATCAAAGAAATATGTATTCTTTCATAGTTAATAAAAAAAACCTATCTATAGCCAGCGATCGAATATAATGTCATTGAGATGTTAAATATCATGTTCAAGATAAATTCATTCTAGAATACTAATCTGAAAGCGATTGTCTCATATCATAGATTGTATTTTTAAATAATTCAACATAATTTCGATATAACATAAAATGAATCAGTAATCGAACATGTTGAACTCTTGGTTTGTTTTATAAACAATGATAATGATAAGAAAACATGAAATCAATAATGTTCAATATTGAACCTAGAAATTATATATTAAAAAATATTTCATTCCAGTGCTCTGACTGGTATATGGAATGGGATGAGAAAATCGTGCCATGAGCCATTATGTCTAGTATAAAAGATTTATTCAAGTCTAGAATTGACTTTCTCCTTGTAACATCTCAGTTTCGTTCTGTCTGTACCAATTTAGGTTAGTTAATGTCATATTTCAATATTTATACTATTCACATAAATCGTACTTGTTTCTCCAAAAACAAAATTCTGAATCTCATATATGGAATTCTTGCTGAACTCCAACGAATACGTTAGTGAATTTATCGAAATTCGTTGAATTTTGTTTGAATTTTTTGTGATTTCTCTAGGATTCGGAACCCATTATATCTTTAAGAGGTTTCAATGTCATATCGCTAAGTTCTAGGAAGTAATAATAATTATTTTCCAGTGCATTTTTCATCAATGAATTCTTAGTTTGTGATGAGTTTACTTAGTTTCCAAAGATTGTTAAGAGTCACTGAATATCTTTTCAAATTCTGGCGCAATTCGGTTACTTTCCTCAGATATTGGTGGATTCGGATGAGTTCTGGGTGAATCCGCCAGGTTTCTACCATTTTGTGGAAATTTGTTCTTTTAAGTTGAACAGCTGGAAATATTCAAGAAATAGAGGACGTATCCTTCTCTAAAAGATAAAAATTAAAAATCAATTCAATCCGTAAGTTCCAAAATCTGTATAATCAATTTGATAATCTGAACATTTGAAAAGTGGACAAATCAGATGAGTTGTAAATAGGTGATCTTATCTGAAAGTGCTTGCTATGACAATCGGCAATGGCGTGCACTTTCATTTTATCTATTTATGTGTTGATCAAAGGAAATCAGTTCTTCAGAACTATTGATAGAGAAAGAATTAAAAAGATTGTCATAACAACTTGAAACTCTTCCAACTAGAACTAAGAATCTTTTAAAAATTGTTTTAAAATTAGCAAACTATCTTGTAATGACAAAACTTTTCCTTGACATAATCAATTTAAATTTCTAATCATCGACAACATTCATATTAGAGAACAGAAATTTTCACTTTTTATTTTTCATATCGATGATCGACCAATTTATATCCATTAGTTAACTGATTAATTCATAATGACTGAATGGTAAGCTCCATTCCATGCCGTTCTTCGACTTTAGAAAGAAAATATGATTTAATTCATTTTCATTGATACACATTAGAATATTCTATTCCATATAGAAATTGATCGACAGCAAACAATAAATATCAGAATATATCATTGTTTCTAAGTATAAAATGGAAACAAGTTAAAATTAATGACAGCTGTTACGCGCATCAATAATAAAGAAAATGCAAGAATATTCTTTTTGAAAAACATTATCAATTACATGTTATACAAAGATTCTTTTTCAAGATGCCTCCTGAAATAGACATAACTTTACCAATAAATGGATATGAGAAAATCGACCAATCATTATCTGATCATGATCAGAATATAATACGTATTAAGAAATATCTTCTTATCCTTCTTTTTATACAATTAGTAAGTTCAACAAAATGTTCTATAAGAACATTTTATAAAAATCAATATTTGTATAGTTTGTATGTATTATTACTTTTGGTGTTGGCTCTTCTGCAATATTATTTGGAAATTCTGTTGATATTTCAAATGGAATTAGATTATTGATACTAGGGATTGTTTTAACTCTCTATTATATATTTGGTCTTGTAGTTACATATAAACAACATCGAATTGGATTACTTATAGTATGTTATTTTATATTCTTTAGTTGTTTTATTTTTATTCTTATTTTCAAATGTTAGTTTGCATCAATTGGAGTGATTCTTTGTATAGCAATATGCATCTTTTTTGGTTATATTATCTTAGTTATTAGGGCATTAACTGTTGCTTTTAATGCTACTAGTCAAGCGTATCCAATCATTGTACTTTTTGGAATTTTCTTTGTAGTGATGGCATCTGCTATGGTAAGTTTATTGCTTAGCTATATATTTGACTTATGTGCTACTTTTTCAGATTATGTCTGTGAAATTCTCTTTCAATTTGGCAAAATTGATCAAAACGAATCAGTATTCGACTGCCTAAAACTGTGAAGATCATGTATTTGTTTTTGCAATGAATATTAAACATATTTGCTATAAATAATGTTCAGTTTTTTTGTTTAATATTTGATTAAGTGAGCACTTATTTTTTATATTAATCATGTGACATTTATACAATGAGCAATCCGTCATTTCTAAAAAGCACAGATCTTTTTTTTTTTATCAATAAAACTACAATAAATCTTGTATTTTAATTGCTAGTGAAATATCTCTTCGTTTCTTTATAATTAAATATTTTCCTATGTTAGAAGATTCTTGGAAGAGGTCGCTTCATAGGAAATTTTTGTATTTTTCTTACAAGCAGAAGAAGATATATGTAGGAAGGGTGCATCAAATTATTTCATTCGTAATTAAGAACATCTATAGACAACTTACTGTGTCATATATAGAAGAAATGGTATAATATGGACTAATGATTTAGGTGACATCAGCTTAGGGCTCATGTGGCACGATCGAAGACAGAATTAGTGATTGTGGAAAAGTTTGATGGATAATAATCGAAGATGTGGAATCTTCTTATGTGAAGAGAATAGAAATTTATTTGAATTGACTATACTTATGAGTCTTGTAAAAGGCGTTTGCTATTTACTTCGAATGAAAATCCAATCAGATATGTAATTGTTGTTTTTTATAGTTTTCTTTCGTTCTTTGTCGTACGTTGTATGCCACAGATTACATTCACAATGATAAGAACTAGCTCTTGTTTTTTTTAATAATGACAAATTTGCTTCATCGTTTAAATTCATTAGCAAGTGATCCTAATTTTAAATTATCTTGTAATATTCTACGTTCAAAACTTATTCCACAAGAAAAATCAATAATTGATTTGATTCTTACTAATAATAATCCTGAACAAGCAGAAATTATTTTACCTGATGGACGAATATTTGTTTGGTATTTTGCTATTGGTAGTATGATTAATCCAATATCTCTTTATCTTCGTGATTTAACACCGATTATATCTTATCCTGTAATATGCAAGGATTATAAAATTGTATTTCGAAGTCCTAATGGAATGGCTGATATTGAAGCTTGTCTCGATGCCGAATTTCATGGAGTTGTTCATCTGCTTACCAATGAACAGATGAAACACTTAGATGAAATTGAATTTACTTATCATAGAATTAAGATTAAATGTATTGATTATCAAGGTCAATATCATACAGCTTATGCTTATCAAATGAATATTAAAGGTCAATTACCTAGTATTCCATATGAACGTTATTTAGATATTATAGTAAAAGGTTGTGAATATTATGGAGTTCAATCAGTATATATAAATCGTTTGAAAGATGAACAACCAGTTATACCTCGAAAAAAACCAGCAAATTTTCAATCATTTAAAGATTTTCTATCTGATACTTATTACTCTCTAGACGAGCTGCAAAAACATAATGGAGATGATCCTTCACTTCCATTATGGGTTTCTATAAATGGAAAAATCTTGGAATATGCTGGATTACCACCAAATGATCATCCTGATTATGAAGTACAACAAAAATTTTATACATTTGTTAAACAAAAACTTGGTGGGCGTGAAGTCACTAATATAGCGGCTAAAGGATTATATGACCCATTATATAAAATACCTTTAAATGATGAAGATATATCTGATGAACATCGAGCACAAATTGAAGATTATTATTATGATACATTAGGTAATTCACAAAATAAACTCTATTGGAAACCAATTGGACGTCTTCGTCAGCCAGACGATTCATCATAAAAAAAAAACTTCTTCTCAATAGATTTTCTGAAATATATAACTTACACTGAGTTTGGATTCGATAGACTTAATCATTTATTTTTTTATTCCAATAAAAAACATGTATTCAATATAATGATTGATATATATATACATATTTATATGAGTGAATTGCATAACCACTGTACGATTTGGCAAATAAATGACGATAAAAAAAAAATTTCGAATAAAAAGAATCTGAGTAGTATATTTGATAGGACTGTGTCGATTGTCTATAGATATATTATTTTTCCTGCACTTTACACTGTTGGTTAAGGCTCCAGTGCAACGATTTTCAAGAACTAATCAGTTCTTAACAGGATTTTTTCGAGAGCGCTTTTCTTGAGAGCAAAACAGTTTATCACATAGAGATAAACTATAGACCCCATAAAATATTGGTGATTATAGGCGAATAGCCCAAGTTTGAACGAATCGTATGATGTATGATGAGTTGAAATTTGAAATTATTTTAGATAAAAAATGAAATTTTCTCTGTGACAAGGCAAGCTAGATAGTTGAAATTTCTACCACATATTCTAGGCAAGAAATACAGAAAAGAATAAAATTTTGAATTCTAACGAATAATCTCTTTTTCAGAAATTAGATTGAATACATGTTTCGTCTTGATTTCTGATTGAATAAAAAACTCTAAAAGTTTTCTTATTCTTTTTGCTAAAATGTAGAGCTTGTCAAATTCTACCTTTCTGTCTGTTTTCAAAATTTTTAGAAATCTTCATTAGCATAGGAATCTAGTACTGATTTCGGTGGATAGATTTTGCAAAACTTTTAGAACACCCGGTATATATATATGCATTGATTACAAGTGTTATCATTGCTTTTGCATATTGTAATAGCGTTTCGTGATTTTATGGATGTGACTGTCATTCTTTCTTCCGATTTTTCTCAGCAGAGACGAGTAGAAACCAAATGGATAGTACCTTTGGTAAGGCTCAAAACTAAAAAATGTTTTGATTATGATCATCTTTTCCTAACACATACTCTCAATCAACTTTGTGTACTTAGGTTAATTCAAATCAGCATTTGATGTTTTACTCAATGATGAAATTTACTATGTATATTCATGAATTTTTTCACGTAAATGAATCCATTTTGGCATTATTAGTAAGGTAAATATACGAATAAAAGATTCTCAAATACTTTATTAATATGCACAAAAGATGTTATCAGTAATGTGTGCTTTAGAGTAAATTCATGGGGTTTTGCCAGTCGATCCGGTGACCAACTCTAAATCTGTTGAAACGGTCAGAATTTGCAGAGCTTTTTGTGCTGATCATTTTGATAATAAATTTGTAAGGGATTCATGTTTATTTTTATACAGATATGGGCCAAATATTATTTATGCCTTTGTATGCTTTCGTGCATTTTTATGCAAAACATGAAGACTGATTGTAGCTTATTTAAAAAAGACGATGCTAATCCCTTATTATTGGATCAAATTCAAAAACCAATTACAAATTCAGATTCCTCGTGAAAAACAGCACCAGATTCCTTGGCGATTTCAAAAGCTTTGATACTGTCCACTGGTTCACTATGTAGTGAACTTGAGATGAAAAGTGTACAAAAAAGTTAACCAAAAAGTTGAAATGAACCACAATGGAATATTCCCAGTTCGATAGAGCGGAACTTGCTCTACAATATGCACTAATTAGTTTTCTTCCCATTTTCAATTTCAGAGGGAGTAATTGTTGAAAACTTTTATATGTAAGCGTCTATGATCTATAAGTGAATATATATTTAGATTGTTTCACTATAAACTTTGTCAAAAAACCTGCATCATTTATCTGATAATTCATACTGACGAGATATTTGAACTAACAGCTGATTGCGCAGTAGCTTGAATTGTAAATGTGCGGATTGTTATACTTAAAGTTGATGAAAAGTTCTGATCACGGTGTTTAAAATTTAATAAAATAGTTAATATCAAAAGTTTTCTTACATGAATATATAGTAGAATGTCCCCGCCTATAACAATGTAGGATGTGGGTAGGTGCGAGAGAATCGAAGGATTTTATTATCGAAATTGAAAGCCATCTATAACATCTTCACTATGTGAGATAATTTAATTAAACAATTTATTTAAAAAAAAAAAAAAGTTTTTTTTCCTAAATATCAGATACATCTGGAGTATTTTCATATTCTTGTTCTTGTTTTTTTCTTAATTCTTCATCTTTACGTTTATATGTAATTCGACTACATGCAACCATCAGAATACAAATTCCAATTATTAAAAGTACTAATAAATTCATTAATTTATATCGATTTGGAGCCATTGCAAGAAAACTAAGTGTTACAACATTAAAAAAGTATACAAGCATTGATGTTGTTAAAGATTCCGGTAATGGATGCATGATTTCAGCTAAACTTTCATAAAAAAGAGGTGATGCGGCACCATTGAAAAAACCAGTAATAGATAATAGAATTCCAATCGAAGCGGAACTTGATGGTAATATAGGTTTATTAGGCCACATAATAGTACGAACACTTAGTTGAAAGAGTAAACAAAATATAAAACAAAAACTAAGAGAAATAAGTATAAGTAGTTTAAATGAACGTTGAAATCGTGGAAGATCAGCTATATAACCCATGATCAATGAACCAATAATACTAGCTACTGTTTGACCAAAACCAAACCAACCTGTTGATTTTTTTTTGTTATTAGAAAGAATGATTATTCTGTTCGATTAGAAAAAAAACACAAAAGAATCCTTACCAGCTTCGATTTCTGTATACCCTAATGGTGTAAGAATAGTAGCAAATAATCCACTCCATGCAGCAAATGTGCCGCCCATGGCAGCACCCGATAGAATCATAAGAACACAAGATATATTTCGACAACAATGAAAAATATCAAGTGCAAATCTTTTTAATCGTTCAATCAATTGTGTTCTTATTAATCGATTTGCATTCAATATTTGAGCTGCAACAGATGGAGGAGTAGGTGGTTCAGCAGGAAAATAGGCAAGAGTAAGAATACATGCAAGCAAAGCTTGTCCCGTATGTATATATAATAAACGAGGAACATGCTCAGCTTTCATTACAAGACGTGGTTCAATAACAAATGCAGCTGCACCACCTAAAATTGCACCAAGAATAGCAAAAGTTGTTGCTCGTGTTCGTTCATGTGGAGCAAACCAAATACATGAAAGTTGAGATACAAGTGCCATAGATATTGGACCTGTAGTTGCAATAAGAATTTGACCAATAAAAAGAAATGGAAGAGCTATATTATGAAAATTTCGATTAGTTGATGATGTGATTATCAATGGAAAGAGACGTAATAATGTAGCTATTACAGGAACAATAGCAAAAATAAGTACACATTTACGAAGACCATGATGAGTATTAAGTAACAGATAGACAACAGGAAGTGTTGGTAAGAATATAATTGGACCACAATTAAGTAAAAGATCAACTGTAGCTTCGGATATATTATAAAATTTCTCTGTAGAACTAGCAATAGGTGAAAAAGTTAACCAAAACATGGTTTGATTGAACGCAAGAAAAGCAAAAATAAATAAAACCCATAATCGTTGTGGATATACACGAAAATTTTGATTATCATTAACTAAATAGTTATATGTTTGTGGAGATTGCATGATACGTTTCTGTTGAATGAAGTTATTATACAGATAATTCTTATGTTTACCTTTTGAGAAGGCATAATGATAAGAGAAACAAAAAAAAAACACGAAATCAGCCGAGTATATGATAGATGATAACAAAAAAGAAATCATAATAAAACAGCTGGTTTTATAAAAAAAACTAAACTGAATATTAATATAGTTTGATCAATAATTAATGTTGGCATATGTAAAATCGAACAAAAGAATGAATCTTATTTACAAAATTCGATCTCTTTACATTTGTTTAAGAGTATAATTAACTTTCCCTAGGACAGAGGTCACTCATATACAATAATAATCTATTTTGTTTTCTTTCCAATGCATCGTTCTTTTGATGTCAAGTACCAATAATAATATTTCTTATTGTTGATTTGTTTTCTTTTTTGTTACCAAAAACCTAGTAAAATGCATTTCCATATGTATATATCAATATTGAAGATTTTCATTTTATAAATATTTGACAAAAAACTTTTTGTCTCTTTTAATTTAAGGTTTGCTTGTTTTATTTTTTTTAGATGAAATTCATCGATCTCTGTGCAAAATTATTAATCTTGAAAGCGCTATCTACGAGACAAAGATAAATATTACCTCTGATTCACGAAATTTAATATTAATAAAAAAAAATTCGAGAAAATTTTTTTATTAAATTATACAACGAACGCGTACTATCTATGTTGAAATCGATAAATTGCGTAAATTTCTCAATTCTCTGGATGTGTTACTCTTGCGAAATTATTCTTTCTGTTCTTCGTATTGAAATTCTTTTGAAACTTATATAATAAATTATTTTATAGATTTCTCTTCTCTTCTAAGAGAAACAAAACAAAATGTTTGGTCGTCGTCCCGAAAGACAAGATCGTGAACAAGAATCTTTAACACGTATTGCTATAGTAAATAATGATCGATGTAAACCAAAAAAATGTAATCAAGAATGTAAACGATCATGGTTTGTTATTTAAATTTTATATACAATTAAATTCTTTTTCTTTTTTTGCTTGTATATTATTATAGTCCAGTTAATAAAACAGGAAAATTATGTATTGAAGTAACACCTGAATCAAAAATTTCTCATATATCAGAAGAATTATGTATTGGTTGTGGTATTTGTGTAAAAAAATGTCCATTTGATGCAATAACAATTATTAATTTACCAAGTAATCTTGATAAAGAAACAACACATCGTTATGGACCTAATTCATTTAAATTACATCGTTTACCAACACCACGACCAGGACAAGTTTTAGGTCTTGTTGGTTCAAATGGTACAGGTAAAACAACAGCATTACGAGTTTTAGCTGGAAAATTAAAACCTAATTTGGGCAAATTTTCGGTATAGAA